ACCCCCCCCCCCCCCCCCCCCCGGCTACGGGCCTGAAATAGCTGTATTGCTAAAATAATTAGAGGGTAGCTCAGCGTGTCTTAAGTGTGTGCGCCGGTTTTAAGATGATTAGGTATCATTTCAGAGGGATCCACGGGAGCCCACACAGGAGGGTACTCTAAATCGATGTCGTCAGGTTTCGGACAGGTACTTGAGTTATATATATTTAAGTCTAGGTGGCCTTTCAAACCCTGTGAATATTATTGTAATGGAGACACATACTGGTCATTTCCCCCCACGAGTGATGGTGAATTTCTTAAGTATTTTCTAAAGCAGTTGTGTATAGGGAATACCTAAAGCTGTGACGATGAGTGAATTGCTGAGAATTTTTTTTTCTGTTGCTATATAAAAGTCTGATTTGCATTGTTAACAATGGAGAGTACACGAAGAAACTCATTGGTCGACGTAGCAATCGCGAAGGGAGGGGGGATTTTCTTCAATTATAATCGATTTCAAAATCCATCTTATATTAACCTGCAGTCCAGCTAAGCGGGCCTATAAGTAATATATCTCTTCGTCGTCTAGCATTTCATAAACTCAAGTCATTTCAGCTGTAAGTTCTATTGTGTTAATTTTAATTTATTTTATTAAAATAAAGCTTGTCATTTCTTCTTTCCTAGGCAAATTTGGGAGTCTGATTAATTTTTTTTTTTTCAGAGTTTAAATGCACAAAGTGGAAACGTGACGTCACTTTCCCCGGGATCTCGTCAACAGATGGCGCTCAGCGTCCCCAGTGACGTAAGCAGGTATGTAAGTAGTCAATAGGGGGTAGCACTGTCGCATAGTAGGTGGAGGTGGTTTGATATACAGTATTAATTCAGTCTGTTGGCCTTATATCGCTGGATGCAAGGAGTTGGCGGGTATTGCAGAATACTTTTTGACCTAAAATATGCTCTTGGCTTTTATATGAACAATATACTTGAAGTGACGGATAGTACGATTTCAAACCTACTAGTAAGCAATTTCTTTCATTCTTTAGACGCAATATAAAATATTTCATATATGTAAAATATTGCATAAATGTGGTTCATAACCTATATATATATCGAGTGTAATAAATAGAAGGCAAATTTTAAAATCTAGAGCTTCTTTTTGGAAACAGACTGTCTGTTGTATTGTCGTCTAGTGTTGACAAATTACATTTTGAGCCGAAAATACTATTAATAATTACTACTCGCACGATGAGAAGCTGTGAGAACTATGGGACCATTCAAGAAATAAATGCTGGCTTAACTTCCAACTAGGTGTAATCTTTGCTTGTTTTATTTTTGTTATCTAGTGAACGTCCCACAAGCGCATCACTACTTGTCCCAGGTGCCGGTAGACCGTCTTCATCAAGCGGACGCCTTAATGGGAGGATGTCAGGTACTGCCTTTAAATTAAACCAGGGGCGGATTGAGGCTGTCTTCTGGGTCTTCCGGAAGACGGACAGATTTTAAAGTTTACACTGGAGGGTATCTTACTTTTTTTTTTTTTTGTGGAACTGGAAACTGGAAATTGGATCTACAAAGATAATTTGGAAGACTGACAGAAAATAGCTCTTGATCCGCCTCAATGTAAACGATCCTTATCATAACAGTGATATCAAATATGTTTTTATATTTTAAGTACATCATATTGCCAGGTCTGAAATTTAAAAAAAATGGCTGTTTATCTCATAAACACTGGATGTTGGTCTAAGATGCTAACACAGTAGAGCTAAAGCAGGAAGGAGAAAATCAACAGAAAACCCGTTATATACTTTGATTTAATTTATGACTCTTTAATATTACATACTGTTTTATCTTATTTACATGTTCGTTATGTTGTCTTCCGTTGGTTAGCTTCGCCAGAGCCTTGGGATATTAACATACGACAAACAATGGCGATACTTCACGGTGATCTTTCTGAGTTGCCGCCTGTTCCTTCTTCTGTCATCAGAGTATTCTTGAGTTCAACATTCAAAGGTGAATACATCTAATGCTCATTAAGCCCAAGATATCCTCCCCTCGAGTCAGACCACGCCCATAACGCGTTGTTATCCAATGAAAACCGGTAATAAAATGATAGCTCAGTTTCGGATCAAAAGGACTCGGATGAGACGCCGTCAAAGCAAAACTTGGGTCAGCTGTAAGTGAACTTGTGATTTTCCACTCGTGTTTACTTGGACGTTGCACTGGTTTTAATTTAAAATAATGTAATTTTTGAAATTATTTTTAACTTTACATAATACATTGGGATGATTTATTGTTCCACGTCGCATGTGGTTGGCCATTATTGTCAATCGTGAAATCGGCCTCAAGATAAATAAAAAATCCGCAAAACATTTTTACAAACATAAACGACTAAAGTTGTCACCATTTCTTTCTCTATGCCATTTAATGATATGCAGTGGGAACTAAGTGACACTAGAGCAAAACGAAGATTTTAATACCTTGCATGGCAACATTTTTAAAATCGCTTGTTCAACAGCTTTTGAATTTTTTATTACAGATATGACTTTAGAGCGTAACACGCTGACCCGTGACGTGTTTCCGCATTTAAAGCAGTACAGCAGCAAACTCGGTTTTGACTTCCAAGTGGCTGATATGCGCTGGGGCGTGGGCGACGATGCAACCAATGAGCACACGACTGAGAGATTATGTCAAGAGGAGATTCTGAAGTGTCAGCGCATCTCAGCAGGACCCAATTTTGTAGTATGTAAAGTACAAGTTGCGTTAGGGCCACTCCTTTTTAAAATCAATCACCGAGTTTCAGTTTAGTTTTGATGATTAATTTTTGAATTAAATCAGCACCAGATTTCTCGCTAGATGCCAATTTTTCAAACATTAAAAGAGATAAGCGGTCTTTTGTAGGTTCTATGTTTAATAAACCGTTGTCAAACGAAGTCTTGGAGCTCTGCTCGTGCTATGTAGATCGGTCAAACTCGGAGGGGACTCTCGCTAGGTGCCACGTTGACAGATTAACACGCCGCCTCTAGCTGTTGAGTAAAACACAGAAAAGCTGTTGATTATAACATGATAAAACAAGGGGAAGCTTGTTACTCTGTTAATCTGATTGAATTCAGCAAGAGTTCCTGAGGATTTTAATCGGTCTACCTAAGGGTTCATGGTGAACACACCCTTAGTAACCTTAGTTACTAAGCTTTAATCAATAAACTGACCGTTTTTTTTTTTTTAATTAAAGGCCTAGCTGCGTACCACAAAAGCCAGTGTGAAAGATAAACTACAATTTTTCTTCATGAGTCACGTGCAACCATATTAATGACAATTTCACTGTTGTTCAGGCGTTAGTGGGAAACCGCTATGGGTACCGCCCATTTCCCGTAGAAATACCCATCAAGGAGTTTGACGTCATAATGTCCATGGCAGAAGAGCGCGACATTCTGGAGCGCCATCTATTGACTGAATGGTTTCTGGCCGATTACAACGCGCTGCCTCCAGTGTACGTGCTACAAGTGAGTAGACGTCCATATTTTTAAAAAATGCTAATTGATATGAAATCTAGCTTTTTTCATTTAGAAATATCGTCATCGAGTGTGACTTGGAGTGTTTTATTTAATCACTGCATTCTTCAATTTATAAAATGATTACTTTCCGCTATCATTTTATAGTATTATTATTATTATTATTATTATTATAATTATTATAGCCGATAAATTCGAAGATTCCTCACTTCGGCAACACCGATCCAGAGCAGGAAAAGTTGGCCAAGGAGGCTCATGCAAAATGGGTCAAAATATTCACCACATTGCAGCATATATTGAGACACGCGGTGGACCACGCCGTCAAGAAGAAACTGATCAGCGAAGAAAGGCGGAACAACTATTTCGTATCAGGTGCGTGTTTGCCATACATCAGAGAATCTGACCGGGTGACCTCGTTTAATTTCGTATCGCAATATGTCACATGACTCGTGTTGCCGAATCTTTGAGGCGTATTGGACTCGTTAAGATTGCTTCACTGTTGATGTTTTGAAGTATTTGTGATAAATAGCTAGTGCGTATAATTGAAATGATCCAGAAGATTTCTTTCTTGTTACCAATGAAAAGAACAGAATAATTATTCAGTTCCCGATAAACGCAACTCCAATTTTAATTTGAGTTTGGCAGAATAAACAGGTCTGATTTTAGATTAAAAACTATGTAAAAACATAAATAACCCTGCGTTGTATTACTGCAAGCTATCAAAACCACCAACAGTGCTTTTCTTTTTCAGTTACTGCAGGAGAAATTGAAAGAGGAATATTTAAAGCCAAAGAAGTAAATAGACGTTCTCTGTGCTACGCAAGAGAGATACCCAACATTGACAAATTTCAGTTTGGTGCCCAAGATCCTTCCACCAGAATCTACGTGGACACTCGCAGACACGGAGATAAAGTCGTCGTCGATCACGAGGCAGTTTCACTTCTACAGGATCTAAAAAGAAAACTTCGCAAGAAGTTGAAAATTAAATATTCATCTCAAACTGTTGTGTGGTTTCCAAGGGGAATTGATCCTAACACCCAACTCAATCACGCTGAGTACATTGATAAACTGACAAAGCAGATCACTGCTGATATGGAAGGATTGATAAATGTGGCCCATCAAGAAAAGACGAACAACGAGAAGACCGCGTACTGGAAATTACGCTCTGAGGTTTTGTATCATCATCACATTTATATGGCGCATACGGGCACGTTCTGCGGCCGGGAGCGAGTTCTAGAGAAGATACGAGACCTGATACTGTCACCTCAGTTCAGACGACCCATTGTTCTCCATGGAGAATCTGGCTATGGCAAGACGGCAGTGATGACTCAACTTGTCCAAACGATCCCGGAATGGCTGTCAGCCCCGGTTTGTCTCAAGGTGATACGATTCGTCGGGGCCTCCCTGGGGACGTCAACTGTCTATGGCCTTTTGTCTAGTGTCTATTATCAAATAGACGCTGCGTTTAAGATGTTGCATTCCCCTGAATTCTTTGCAAATACAAAACGTCTCATACGTAATGGTCCTCTGTTTCTTCGGAACTGTGCACGGAAACACAACCAGCCGATTGTTGTAATACTCGACGCATTGAATCAACTCCACCCGGCGGAGAACGCATATGAAATGCAGTGGTTACCAGGCGTAATGACGGAGCTTCCACTAAACGTGCACTTGATAGTGTCTTCAAACTACAAACACGACATTGTCAAAACTCTTCAGAAGCTTCGAGGGGACGACAAGGGGTTTATCCAGCTAGGATGGATATCACAGGCCACTGCAGATGACATTTTAGAGGCCAACCTTAAACATTACAAAAGGACGCTTACAGAACAACAAAAAGGGTGTGTTTTGGAACATTTTGCGCAGGGGGAAACCCGAACACCACTTTTCTTGAAGCTGTTAATAGAAGAAGCACTGATGTGGCGATCCTACACAGAATTGTGTACAATCCAGTCCTCTATGTCTACCACGGTCCAAGCGTCCATCAATCGGCAATTTGATCAGTTGGAAGCAAAATTTAAGAAGATAATTGTGCAGAACATTCTGGGGTACATAACCATTGGACTGAATGGCGTCACGGAGAACGAGCTTGAGGACGTCCTGTCATGCGACAACGAGGTTTTAAAAGAAGCCTATGTTTACCACAAGCCTCCTGCATCCGACTTTATTCGTATGCCGCCGCTCATTTGGGCAAGGCTACGCCATGAAATGCGTGATTTTCTTGAGGAGAGACAGTCACATGGACTTGTGACGATAGACTGGTGCCATCAGCAGTTCAGAGATGCAGCTTACAGGAGATATGTCGGTGAAAGTGACATGAGACGTCTGCACAAGAACATGGCGGAGATCGTCTCTACTGAACAGCCTATTGTGAAATCTTTACGAATACGTCTTAGAAACGAAAGGAAGGTCATTGTTTTACCCGATGTCGACAGAAAGGTCACTTTGCAGCCCCTCTCAAGGACGAACTTTAGGAAGTTAGATTGCTGGCCGCACCATTTGCTTAATGCAGGTGACATTGACGGTCTCAAACGCCATTGCTGGTTCAATCTTGAGTTTTTAATGATGGCCCTTGACGTACTAGGGATTGCGTCTGTCATTGATGCCTTACAGGCGGCCGTAGATCAAACTTCAGATGAAGAGCTTCAGAATGCATTTGACGCTGTTAACTGTGCCAGCGAGAGGATAGGAAATGTGTCCCTTTTCCCTTTTTACCTCCTTGCGGCGTTTACCGGAGGAAAGCCAAATAGTGAGGGGAAGCCATCTTTGGAATCACAGTTTATACAGCAACTGCGAAATTGGATAAAAGAATCAAAAACACTGATGCTTGAGCCATTACATCCCTTCTTATTCCTTCATGAAATGCGCGAAGTCAACCAACAGCTAAATGCCATATCAGAAATTAAAAGAACGAAATCAGAAGCTTCACTAAATCAGTCCTCCTCGTTGTGTATTCGGGATCTTCAGGCGTTTGATGTGACAAGTAATGGCAGTTTGTTAGCCTTGGGTTACATCTCCTCTCCCCTTCAAGTTGTAGACCTGACAACGGGTGTCAAAGTTGACGACATGCCACGGCGTCATGTTGTAGATGGGGTCCATTTTGTGTGCAATGACTCACATCTGTTTGTCTTTCAGAGGAACGTGTGTGTTTATTTGCTGTCTTTAGAGGGTGACTCTATGCAAGACAACCCAGTCTATGACTTTGACTTTGACAACGGAGAGTTGCCAGAGACGTATTGTTTAGTTAAAAGCTCAACCGAGGCTGTCTTCTGTACTGTTAATAACGGGATCTGTAAACAATTAAAATCTTGGAATATGGCGACAAAACAAAAAGAGTGGGAGATTGATATTCAAGAAGAAAGGATGCCGTCCCCATTTTCCATATATTCAAACGGCACCCAAGTCATTTTTCAAATCCAATCGGACTTAGATCTTGTACAAGATGTGGACGAGAGCCTGGTGGAATTCGAAGACTTGAGCACATCTGGATACGAGTCAGTCATGGAGGCTACCGATTATGAAGAAGAGACATGCCATCCATCGCCATCGTCACATACAGAATATACATACTATATGTTCGATCGAAAAGATCCAGATGAGGTCGTGCACACCTGTGAGGTCGGCAAGGAGGTGGTGCAAGGGCACAGTGGTGAGTTACTCAACAAGTTCCAGGCTCTCGTACCTACTTCAAAGGGAATCTGTTTGATTGATCCCATAGAGAAGACTTCAAAGTACGTCAAGAGCATCATGGCAAAAGACAAAGGGATGTTAGCAGAAAGTGACACCCAGCTGTCTGACATAACCAAACCATCGTGTATTTCCAAAGTCAGTGAGAAGGGATGTTTTGCTTTTGGGTATAAATCAGGACACATTTTGATCCATACTGTAAACGACACACCATCATTGATAGTGGAGAAGCTGTGTAAACCGACAAAGGCCCAGGTAAGTACAAGTCCTAACCTGTGAATTTTATTATTATTATTATTTATTTATTTAAAGATATATTTTTTAGAGTTTTAAACTCGATAGAGTGATTGTTGAAGTCTCATCTTGTGTATGGTAAATTCACTACACTTGAAGTCTGCTGAAATCTATCGCCCAGAATGTGAGTTGTGTATGAATTTACGCTTCTGACAATACGCAAATGAAAGAAAATATGCGGGAGGTTGGCACTACAGACAGCTGTGACGTAATTTTTACATACCTGTATTTCTCTTTGGTTGTGCCAGGTGAAGCTGTTGGCCTTGTCAAAGAACGGAGATCTTGTAGCGTGTTGGAGTCACGATCACACACTGTCGCTCTGGACCTGCCAGTCCTCCATCAACAAAGAGAGCAGCGTGACTCTTCCCCTCACAGACCTGGAAATAACACACTTACGGTTCTCTGATGATGGTCAGCTGTTATTTGTTGTCGGAGCTTTCGAGTCTCAGACCGATTTCACCAATCAGTTGTTAGTTTTTCGCGTACATGCACAAGTAGCTGATTGATTATTGCCCAAAGGAGGTGACCGTGGATTTTTTTTATATGATCCCAGGAATGTTTTCCAGGTGCTTATAATAATGATAATGTGGAATTTTCATTTGTACAACTGATTAGAATACCAGGACTGTAAGGGGGTGAAAATGGAATCCTTTCCTTTCTCACATTCAAAGGGGGCTTAGTTATGCCTCAGTAAACGTCTAGCCAAATATAATGGGTGGTACGAATAACCTCCCTGCATGAACTGTAGGCCATCGACAGCTGCCCTCCCCCTCTCTTCAAGATGTCTTCTCTGCTTACAACGCTTAATAAATACGCGTAAATGCGTTGAAATCTGGATAATACTTGACTGATTACAGAACATGTACATACATTTTGATAATATTAGAGAGAAAACAACGAATCAATTCATACATCTTAAAGTAATTGAATATTTTTCTTCAATTTTATTGTTTAATGTAAAGCAATATTTTAATAAAATTAAAAAATTTATGAGCTGTAATAAAATATGCCAATGTATGATTTTTTTGTTTTTTTCATTTTGTTGTGTCTGGCAGAACTATTAGATGTCTAAATCTATTTTAGTGTGGTGCAACAATTACAAACCAGCAGACTGCAGTGTTAGGGCGTATTCCCAGAAATTTAGGTCGATCTATCCCCGCGGGGAGTCTCACTAGATTACTGTCAGATAATCCGGCTTAAATGTCCGTTCCGCCTACTACAAGCTGTAAGGGGGTAATTAACTTTCGTGCCCGCTCGGCTGACAGCTATTTAGCGTGAACCCCCAGGGAGTTAGGTCGATCTAGTTTGGATCGATCTAATCTCTGGGAATGGGGTCATAAACAACGTGACAGAAGAATGTAGATCCGTTTTCACTTGTACAGCTTGTTTGTTAATCATTTAGGTTTTAATTTATGGAAGATTTTTCCAATTAATAACCTTGGGAGATGTACACTCGGGTTAATGTATGTTTTTTGAAAAATTGCATCAAAATATACAGGTCTTAGAAAGTGCCTACCAGTTTTTCCCATGAAATTAAAACAAATAACAAGTCTCTGAATTAATTTTCAACTGATATTTATTCACGTTTACAAAAACATAATTAAATAACTCACTACAGGTATACTACAAAACTACAAAAAAATTTAACATAAGTGGTCTGGCCTTGGATGTTATCGAAAGTTGTCAATTGAGTTATCCACTACTACAGTACAACCAATGCCACATTTTTGAACGGGTGAATCTTATTTCAATGAGCTTTATCAAAGGAAAAACCATATAAAAGCCTTTGAATTTTAGGGCATAAATGACTTAATTTCAATCATGCAAAGATATTAAGTTCAAAATTCAGAAGCAAAATGAATAAAATGTTACATTAAAGAAAATATTCAATTCGTAACTACTGCAAAAATACTATTATTTTTAAAAGACATTTTATTTTTAACACAATATTACATATCACTTAATATGATAAACATAGGAAAGAATCACACTCCAGAAATGAATGCCAAAATTGACAAGTACACAACTGAAAATGAAAACAGTGCGACACGTACAAAACCATCTGCATGTGCGTGTTGCAAAATCCAAAGTAAGGAATATGGTACATCAATAAACAATGTTGACTCAATATAATGTGCTAGATGAATAATGCTGTGTTGCAGAATCCATAAGAAATGATCAAAATTGCTTGCTTCTGGAAAATATGTTTAAAAAAACAGCAATTTGACTGTGCTGGCAATGCATGTCATAGAGCCAACTTTGTGGTGATATACGATAATATACTTTTGTTAACAGGAATATTTCAACAACACAAGCTAGCACTACTATGACATCAATGACAAAGATCCACCAAGACCAAGTTAAGTAATAGCTCTCAGGTGCGGTTGTTTGTATGTCGAAAACTGCCATATGTTTGACAAAACAAATGTCACGACATTAGAATAAGCTAGAGATGAGGTATAAGGAAAAACGTCAGGTGGAAGGGTTTAATTAGATTTTAATTTGATTTGTAAGGGCCCGTACCATGTATTGATAAGTGCATTGCATTCATGCACTAAGAGGAATATTGTATATGCTCTCTTTAATTCGGAATTCACGTTTGGAACCTCGGCGGTACTGTATATATATGTCCAGTATTCAGAAGGGGGAGCAACACACACCATGGCAAAGGTTATTCTGAAAACATGCGGCCACTGCGGCAAATTGTTTCTTTTCATTTTTCTGGACACTGGCGACATACTTGCAGTTTTTATACTTACAGGATAGTGTGGAAACCCTATCCGCCGAAAACGGGGGTACCTACAAGGCAAAGGCAAGTGTAAAATATTACATTTTAGTTAAAAGACCAGCGATTCTCACAGCATACCGCGTTGTACCCACAAGGGTCGCGAACACACACACACAAGGCGATTTGGTTAAATAAGTAAAACTACTCCCACGGAGTACGACAGAGCAATAACGGGTACGATTTTTTTTTTTTTTTACATTGCAGTTTGTACGTATAGTAGACGAATCAGAAGAAGATGAAGAGGAAATATTATATAGACGGGGTAAGTCTAATTTTCATTAGCGTCACGTAGTAAAATTTTCTTTTATTACGGCGTATCACAGAAAGTTAATATAAAGTGTATGGTACGTTTACTGTGAATTTAGGTATTACAGAGAAGGGTGTGTACTGAAACATCAGAGCTTTGCTTGTCGCGAGATAAAAAAAAGGAGATAAGCGTATTGATTTTAAGATGTTTTATTTTTCAGAGCCAGAAGAGAGAGACGAAGAATAAACCTCTCCTGTAGCTCGATTTTTTTTAAAAGTTAATTAAAAACAATTGGAAAGAAATTTTAGTTGGTTACTTTTTTATTTATCAAAGTCGTTGGTGAGGCGTTGCGAGCAACGAATGATATTGTTATACTCCGTGTCTTATATGACTTTATTAATATGATATTAATGTCCAAATCATATTGGAACCTCGGTTGTAGTGTATATAAAGCCCAATATTCAGAAGGGAGCAACAAATGACCGACATGGCAAAACTGGTGGTCAGAACTTGCGGACATTGTGGTAAACTCCTCGTGTTAATCATACTAGAGACGGGGAGTATCCTAATGGCCTTAACAGTAGTATAATATGGACGGGACACACTGCTTTCCCTCTTTTTTCTAAAAAGTTTCAACGTAATTCTATAATGCAGATTGAATTTTTCATAATGAGTAAAAAGAAGTAAGTAGTCTATGGGTGAAAGCAGCCACCCACTCAAGCTGACCTCATTGTTTGTCGGAAATTGCCATTTGTTTGGCAAAACAAATGTCAAGGCATTAGAATAAGCTAGAGATCAGGTATTGGGAAAAAAGTCTGGTGGAAGAGTTTAGTTAGATTTTAATTTGACTTGTAAGGGCTTGCAACATGTATTAATAAGTGCACTGCATTCATGCACAAAGAGGAATATTGTATATCTTCTCTTTAAGTCGAAATACACATTTGGAACCTCGGTTGTACTGTATTTAAGTGTCCAGTATTCAGAAGGGGGAGTAACACACCATGGGGAGAGTTATCCTCAAGAGATGCGGCCATTGCGGAAAATTGTTCTTATTTATATTTCTTGACACTGGCGACATACTTGTCGTCTTAAAAATAAAGGTACGTATAACATCATGTCATTGTCTTTTATTAAAGGACAAATATTAAGGTATCGTTTGTGTGTTTATAGAGGTTCATGCATATCAAATAGTTAGATCTGGTTCTATTTTAAAGTTTTTATACTTACAGGATACTGTGGAAAACCTATCCGAAGGTAGCTACAAGGCAAAGGCAAGTTTAAAATATTACATGTTATTCAAAAGACCAGCGATTCTCACAGCATACCGCATTGTTAAATAAGTATAACTACTCCCACGGAGTAAGACAGAGCAATAACGGTTTGTTTTTTTTTACATTGCAGTTTGTTCGGATACTTGATGAACCAGAAGAAGAGGAAATATTATATAGACGGGGTAAGTCTAATTTTCATTAGCGTCACGTAGTAAAATTTTCTTTTATTACGGCGTATCATAGAAAGTTAATGTAAAGTGTATGGTACGTTTACTGTGAATTTAGGTATTACAGAGAAGGGTGCGTACTGAAACATCGGAGCTTTGCTTGTCGCGAGATAAAAAAAGAAAGGAGATAAGCGTATTGATTTTAAGATGTGTTATTTTTCAGAGCCAGAAGAGAGAGACGAAGAGTAAACCTCTCCTGAGCTCGATTAAAAAAAAAAAATTAATAAACGATTAGAAAGAAATTTTAGTTGGTTACTTTTTTATTTATCAAAGTCGTTGGTGAGCAACGAAATTGTTATACTCCGTGTCTTATATGACTTTATTAATATGATATTAATATCCAAATCATATTGGTTCACTAAAGATTGCAAAGCACAGCACATATGGATGATTTAACACGTAAAGTCCGAATAATGCATTGGATATGACAATTAAATACATGTACTTTACAGTTCGTATCTTATATGTTACTTAAAACACCAATGATAAGATGTCTCACAGCATATAAATTATGTCCTGTGAAAGTTTTAGAAGAGAATAAGATTTATTTAATGTTTACACACTAAAATGTCATGACACAAAGCAAGTGTAAAAACATCTATAATTATAATGTAAGCTTTCAGATTTAGGACTAATGCTGGTGTCTTTTAAAAAGTTTCAACAAGAGACTGAATTGTGTGGAAATTGGGTTTTGGTTGTTCACCACTGCACTGCCCGCAGGACACACCGCTACATTCGACGCTTCCCGGCAATAGAGTAACTTTGTCATTACATCATAACAATGTACATTGAAGGGACTTTTCCTCCCATAACCTGGAATGTGTACAGAAGGAAGATGGACACGAGAACCAACAACCACGAAGAAAGTAAGTTCAGAAATGTTATTATTGTTTATGGATACTGTTTAGGTGAAACACTCATTCTCAAAATATATAAAAGTCAGAGAGGTTACCAGGCACCGATGGAGACCCACCAGAGTCATCTGTGACTTACAACCCTACAAGCGATTCATCATGAATACCACTTTAAAAGATTTGTCTGCTTCAACAACCCTACATCCCCTAGCGAATAAGTTAACAGTAAAGGTGATAGCCACAGCGGAAACAAAGAACTATAAGGACAAGTATGGGAAAGATGACAGAAGTGGGGGTGGCCGATGCAACTGCCGCCAGGAAACTGACCGTGTACAGTTCTAAGCGACAACTAATTGTCGGTGCATGGTACATCATCATGAATTTCTTCATTAGAGACGGGATCATTCATTGCACAGAAGCAATGAAGATTTTCAGGTAAGACTTCATTTTTTTGTTCATAAAACTTCGGCTATGCCTGAAAAAATTATTTATAGCTGCGAATTGTTAACAGATCTCAAAGATAGGCATCGTAAACTGATAAGCCTTGTTCTTTTTTATCATTTCTAGTGTGACGCAACCCAATGCATGGACAAAGCGTAGCGCATTTGGCGCGTAAACCCCAACATTGGGTGGGGGATCGAGGGGTTGAACAAAATATTACATGTTACTTAAAAGACCAGAGATTAAATGTCTTACAGAATATATATTGATGTACTGGGAAAGATTAAGAAGAAAATGAGATATATGTTATGTTTACACAATGACATATCGTGACATTAGGCAAGTTTAAAAAAGATCTTTTATAATGTTTATAACATGTCTAAAAGACATTCGGAGCCAGAGGGAGCGCTCCATCCGAGCTGCTGACAGAGGTGGTCCTCCGACCCCAAGGAGACAGAAGTGGTGCCAGATGGAGTGGCCTGAAGACCCTGTGAAGGGAATACAGGCGCGGGGATAAAGATATAGCAGAATATTGGGACACAGTAGGCCTGGGGAAACATTAGATGGGTTATCAAAGGTTTACATTGTGACGCAGTCAAGTACCTTAAAGTAAGCAACACATTCAACGTTGAAGAAGTTGTCTGGGTGGGGAAGGCTCTAAACAACAAGCGTCTTCTGGAACAAGGCCAGGACTTTCTCATAGACAATCTCGAAGCCTATGAAAAAAACTATCAAAAGACGACTGTCCTGTCACAGTATTCAGAAGGGGAGCAACACACATCATGGGGAAGGTTATCCTGAAGAGATGTGGCCACTGTGACAAATTATTCCTGTTTATATTTCTCGACACTGGCGACATACTCGTTGCCTTGAAAATAGAGGTACGTATAACATCATGTAATTGACTTTATTTAAGGCCAAACATTAAGTTATCGTTTGTGTGCATATCAAATATTTAGATTTCTTTCTATTTTTAAACCTTTTATACTCACAGGATGAGGTGGAAACGCTAACCACAGAAAAGGGGGGTACCTACAGGGCTGAGGCAAATGTAAAATCTTACATGTTCCTTAAAACACCAATGATTAAATGTCTCAGAGCATATATATTATGTTCTGGGAAAGTTTGAGAAGATATTGAGATTTATTTAACGTTTACACACTGACATGCCATGACAAAAAGCAAGTTTAAAACAGCTATTATAATGTAAGCTTTCAGATTTAGATTTATTTCATATAAATAATGCAGGAATAATACATACTTTGTCACTTTCACATATTACGGTACTATTACGGTGGAGATGGATTGAGAGGCGCCTGAAGACCCTCTGAAGGGAATACAAGTTTAATTAAACATGTGGAGAGGAAACACACAGATCTTCCGGATGTAGATGTGGAGTACAGTTAAAAGAGTGGAGTTACATCAAAAGGCTATTAATGCATAATGAATGTTTTGGGACAATACAAATTATGGAAACAGGCCTGGCAGAGAAACCTTTATATTGGCTGGAGATCCTTTATAACCTTTATTAGCCTTTCTTTGGCTTGTTAAACCTTTATTTTTCTTGAAAACTGTAAAGTAACATTTTTTCAATGATCAGAACCTTTAAGTTTAGATTTTACTGGTAAGGCAGCACATTCCACTGTATGTATCGATGGGTTACATACCCTTGGCGCTTGTTCGCCAGAACTTCCAAATGCACTGCAATGCCAGCAGGACACACTGCTACATTTGGCGCTTCCCGGCAATGGGGGAGTTTTGTCAGTATGTGAATAACACTTACATAGAAGGGACTTTTCCTCCCGTCACCTGGAATGTGTACGAGAGGAACATGGATACGAGGACTAACAGCCAGAACTTCCAAATGCACTGCAATGCCAGCAGGACACACTGCTACATTTGGCGCTTCCCGGCAATGGGGGAGTTTTGTCAGTATGTGAATAACACTTACATAGAAGGGACGTTTCCTCCCGTCACCTGGAATGTGTACGAGAGGAACATGGATATGAGGACTAACAACCATGTTGAAAGTAAGCTCAGAAATGTTATTATTGTTGGCCAGAACTTCCAAATGCACTGCAATGCCAGCAGGACACACTGCTACATGCTGCGCTTCCCGGCATTGGGGGAATTTCGCCAGTACGTCAACACCACATACATTGAAGGGGCCTTTTCCTCCCGTCAACTGGAATGTGTACAAGAGGAACATGGATACGAGGACTAGCAACCATGTTGAAAGTAAGCTCAGAAATGTTATTATTGTTTATGGATACTGTTTAGGTGAAACACTCATTCTCAATGTATAGAAAAGTCAGAGAGGTTACCAGGCACCGATGGAGGCCCACCAGAGCCATCTGTGACTTTGAGGTGCGTCTCAACACCACCCTGGAGACGGAGCTTGTAATGGCAGAAATAGCTGGGTATTTTTTCCACTTATGCCAGTCTCTATGATGGTGTGTTTAGGAACGGAGGTTGGTGTAGACAACCCCAGGGTAAGGCAGCACATTCTGCTGTTTATATCGATAAGATACATACCCTTGGCGTTTGTTCGCCAGAATTTCCAAATGCACTGCAATGTCAGCAGGACACACTGCTACATGCTGCGCTTCCCGGCAATGGGGGAATTTTGCCAGTACGTGAACAACACGTACATTGAAGGGACTTTTCCTACCGTCACCTGGAATGTGTACGAGAGGAACATGGATACGAGGACTAGCAACCATGTTGAAAGTAAGCTCAGAAATGTTATTATTGTTTATGGATACTGTTTAGGTGAAACACTCATTCTCAATGTATAGAAAAGTCAGAGAGGTTACCAGGCACCGATGGAGGCCCACCAGAGCCATCTGTGACTTTGAGGTGCGTCTCAACACCACCCTGGAGACGGAGGTTGTAATGGCAGAAATAGCTGGGTATTTTTTCCACTTTTGCAAGTCTCTATGATGGTGTGTTTAGGAACGGAGGTTGGTGTAGACAACCCAAGGTTAAGGCAGCACATTCTGCTGTTTATATCGATAAGATACATACCCTTGGCGTTTGTTCGCCAGAACTTCCAAATGCACTGCAATGCCAGCAGGACACACTGCTACATACGGCGCTTCCAGGGAATTGGTGAATTTTTCCAGTATGTGAGAACCNGGGGGAAAATGTTTTGCAAGTCGTGCGAGGCAGCTAGCAAGTCAAGTAAGTCTCTGTCTTCAAATGCATTTGTGAAGCGATGATCACGCACTGTCTAAAAAACTTCAGACTCAAAAGCGCTATATGTCGGCCGCTCGAAAGTGTGTTTCTCAGTCGTACACTCTAAATTTCCCTGGGTTAAATTTTAACCCAAAATTTGGGTAACACGTTTTGGGTCAAAAATTGGGTCAATATTGGGTCAAAATGACTACCATTTGAATCAATATTGTAACCCAAGTACTGGGTCATTATGTCAGCCAATCAGAATCGACCGCCCTGATGTAACCCCCATAGAATCCTGACCGTGATAGCACCCGACCGCATTGCTGCTTCATCCACTGCGGTATGGCAGGATTTTTGGAGAAATTTCTTGGGGCCTGCGGCCTCCCTGAGTATGTCGAGAAATTCCATGGTAAGTACTTGACTTTAAGAACATTTTCATAGAGCTAGGACTTTATTCGACCTGGAGAAAAAGCGATGATTCTAGGAAATCCTCCGTGTGGCTGTTTGAGTGTTGGTGGTGGGTCGTACAGCGTCGTACACACGCACAGCCTGGCGTGCATTCTCATCCCGGCGCTATGCCGAGCCTATAGCGCTAACCTATCTAATCATTCAATTATCAGTTGTGTATTTTCGGATGGCAACCTTGATTATCTAAGCCATGATCTGCTGAACTTCGTTAGGCCACTGACTGAATCTTTTAATCGTCCCATTATTTGCCATTCCTACATTTAGTGGCAACTGAAAACAAACATGGCAGCCCCCACGATAAACCAGGAAGTTGAAAGGGAGATGTTCAAATCTGGAGTTTTACACCAAATATCATTACTGTAATGTGATAAAATCTCTCAAGGAAGCATGGAGGTAGCATGTATGATGACAGCATGAGACAAAATCAATCTGTCATGTCTGTGATGGGGTGGGCTGGGTGCCTGACTGTCTCAGTCTCAGACTCAGTAATTTATATCAAATTCAAAATTCAAATTCTTTCATTCATTCAGCATATTCAGTGATAACCATAGGCATACATAGGCTAATAATCCGACATATGGCCTACTTTTTATATTGGCTTATTTTTAATTTTCTCATGTTCTCTTTCTATTATCATCCTTCTTACTGCTCTTTATTATTTATTTCAGATCAGGGCGTTGATGATACTGTATTTCCTCTTCTCCGAGAAGGAATGATAAAAGATCTAATTCCCAGAATAGGGGACCGTGCAAAGTTTCTGGACAAGTATGATGAGTGGAAAAAGGTATGAATAATAAATTATATTATTAAAATGGCCTATACTTGTTTTAAGTGTAAACAACTTATTCCTGGACCTCCAAAAAATCTCATCACACATTTGAGAAATGTCCACGCTTATACTAATGGACCTGGATTTCAATATATATGCTGTCAAGAAGGATGTCAAAGAACATTTCACCAAGTGTGGTCCTTTATCCGACATCTTTCTAATGTGCATCCATACAATGTAAATGATGTAGTTCCAGCAGACAATGTCGATAATGATGCTGGGTTGGACTTGCCAGATCATATAAATGACGATGTTGAAATGAATGATGTTCCACCACCTGTGCCAGAGAGGAATCTTGATGATGATGAACTGAAGAGACTTGCAATGGACTTTGTTTGCCAGCTAAAACAGATGAACTGCTTAAGTTTATCTGCAATGAATCGTATAATTCAGTGTTCCTCCCAAATGTTTGGTGATATAATCACTCACCTGAAAGCCACAACAATGCGTACTCTCAATCATTTAAATGTTGACATGAATCATGATGAAATCGTAAGTTTACAGTCAGATTTTGATCGTCTATCAACACCATTTGCTGGTTTAGAGACAGATTTAACGCAGAAACAATTTTTGGAGGATAGTGGTATGTATATTGCACCAGTATCTGTTCCTCTTGGAGTTAAATTTGTACCAACAGTTGATCCAAAAACTGGGGATTTACATCAAACACAGAAAACAGCTACAGCCCAGTATATATCAGTGAAGTCAACTTTGAAATTGGTTGTTGAACAGCCTGGTGTTATCGAAATGATGATGAATTATAGAACCCAAAATGATGGTGTCTTGCGAGACTTTCATGATGGAGAATACTATCGGAGACACAGACTACTGAATAATGAAGATGTCATTACAATACCATTACTACTATATTTCGATGAGTGCGAAACAGTCAACCCACTAGGGTCCAAGCGCACTGTGCATAAATGTGGCTTTTTTTATTACACGTTGAAGAATATTGAACCAAAACTTTCATGTTCCAATGCCAATTGCTTCCTTATGGCAGTCTCTAAGACCAGTGACATATCAGAATATGGTTACGCAGCTGTACTTGCTCCTGCTATTGCAGATCTAAAGGAACTGGAAACAACAGGATTTCATATTGACACAGATGTGTTCACCGGAACAGTCAAAGCTGTAGTTGCTCAGGTTACAGGAGATAATCTTGGTCTTAATAGTCTTTTTGGATTCACGGAAAGTTTCAGAGCAAATTATTCATGCAGGATATGTAAGGTTCACCGAGATGATATGATATCACAGGTAGAAGATAAGCCTGACCTTTATAGAACACGTGAAATGTATGAAGCAGACCTTGCTCAACATGATGTTACACTAACTGGGATTAAGTCTCCCTGTGCCCTCAATGATCTATCAGAGTTCCATGTTACATCAAATTTTGTGGTGGACATAATGCATGATCTACTTGAAGGAGTGTGTTCACTGGAAGTCAAGCTTATTCTAAATGGATTGATACAGAGTAATGTTTTAACAATTGATGAGTTAAATGCACAGATCAAAAGTTTCAACTATGGCTTTTGTGACAGCCATAACAAGCCCACTACCAATACAATTACAGAATTGTCTTTGAGAAATCCAGATGGGGCATCAGGCCAGAGTGCTTCCCAGATGTGGTGCTTGGTTCGTTATCTTCCCTTAATGATCGGACACATGGTCGATGAAAACAATGAATACTGGCAATTGTTAATTGTGCTTCTCAAATGTATGGATATAATATTTTCACCAACAGTTACTTTGGGAGAGAAATTTTATCTCAAGGAACTCATTAGAGATCACCACAACTACTTTCTGGCTTTGTTTCCACACAGACATTTAAAACCGAAGCATCATTTTATGGTCCATTATCCTATGGTCATCCGAAAAATTGGACCCTTAGTTCATTTCTGGACCATGAGGTTTGAGGGCAAGCATAATTTCTTTAAAAGAATTGCCCATGTCACTTGTAACTTTAAGAACATCCCTAAAACGATGGCCTTAAGACATCAAACTGATCTCTCATGTCGACTGTATGCTCACTCTGTCCTCAAACCAAAGGTTTTAGAAATAGGTACTGGAAGTTCTCACATACTTGCTACATTGGACAATGCAGAACTGATTGCTACATCATTTGCTAACATGCCACTATACGGAGAACTTTATCTGGCCAATTGGATTGAAATGCAGGGAACTAACTACCGGCCAGGCATGACACTTATTATCGGACGTTCAGACAATGACTTATTCTTGTTTGGATTGATTGTGAACATTCTTGTTGATGACAATCAAGATGCCAAATTCTATCTGCGGAGATGGAAAACAATCGGGTTTGATGAGCATTTTCATGCGTATGAAGTTGAAGAAGGCCCTGATGTGTCCATTCTAAACTGTGATGACTTACTGGATTCTATTTATTTTTAGTTTATGTTTTTGACTTTGTTTTCCATAATCTGAGTTAAATCTTTGCAATCTAATGCACTAAAATAGTTCACTTTCATTTTTAGGAGGAGAAAAAAACATACCCACTAGCTTCGTCAGGTATTGTAGGAAAGCAATGGAAAATGGAAAATCAGATAAAATTGAAGTTATCATCGTTATAAAAAGAAATGGCAAGGATGTCACCTCACAACACAAAAGGCTTGTTGAGGATTGCACCAAAAGGTTACATTTTAAACTTTCTAAATTGGCACCATCAACCCCTCAACCAAGGCTACAACCCCAAACATCGACTCCAAAATCTTCAACAAGTGGCATGCCGTCACCATGGGACCTAGACCCGTCACCATCAGCAAGCACTATTGGCACTACACCTAGCTCAAGAAGTGCCAAGAAAGTGAAACAAAAATATTCAGACATGAGGAGAGGCGAGGGAGTAAGGAACTGACTCTGTATTGACGCTGAAAGCCCTCCACTTAATATTTATGGATCACCAATAGCACTGGCAGATCTGACAGATGATATCTAGTCTGACATGGCAAATGTAATAAGACATAAGGAATAAACCCCAGAAGAGCAAATCGGTTTTAAGAAAAGTTGCCAAATTCAACTTGGGTTAGAAGGAAAGGTACCCTTATACTCATCTTTCTATTAAACTGTATGTAAGCATAATTTAAATATAGGATCTCTATACATTGAAAAATGTTCAGTCATTTCTCGATCAAAATCACTTGACTGCATTAGACATTTGAACTGGTCCTCTGGAGTTTGTGTAGGATCTGGTTTTAGGATCTCCCTGTGTTTGGTGTGAGGGGCATTTTAATAGAAGTGTATTTTATTTTCGACTTCAGCTGAGCATATTTTGCAGATACTTTGTTCAGGGGGTATTGATTTTAGTTTTCGGTATTTGCCTCTTTGGATTGCTAATTTGTGTGCCCCTGTCCTAAATTTTACCAAATTTTGCATTTCATGTTTTGGTATAGGTGCTGTTGTGTATGCTTTCCTTTCATAATTTGTTTTAAATAATCAATATGTACGTAGTATGCTATATGCTCGCTCTGTTTCTTTGAGAAACAAAAAGGTATAGTGACTTTCCTGAAAGCCTGGAAATACCTGAAGTACAAATACCACCACCAGCACCACCAGCACCACCAGCACCACCAGCCCCCCAGCAAGCAGCAGCAGCAGGTCTGATCAAGCTCTGGTGTTGCGTTTTGCCTCTGATAGTGAGCAGTTGATTCCTGATACTTATAAGTAGCTATACTAAAAGTATGTGTGATTTATGGATTTATATGTGGTTTCTTTCATGGGTATGCAGTGCCATGGAGTTGTTTACACGAAATTATAGAATCTTTCTCCTTATAAGTAACTCTTAGAACACTTCATATATACATGATACTTAAGGTGATTCCCTATAGAAAGATATTCACTTCTGAAAGCAAGCAGACTTAGATGTGGGGCTTGAAGTGTGTAGATCTCACTGAACAACTGGTTTCCAGAATAAAGACGCCCCTCGCTAAGAAAATTTGTTGAGTTAATGAATTTAACTACTCACAAAGAAAAAGACCCCATAAGGGCAACAAAACAAAGACAAAATGACATTATTCAAAGGAAAGAAATGTCCCATTACTAACAATTATTTCAAGAATTGGTTAGAATTTCTTTTTCGTGATCATTAATTATTCTGACTGGATTCTGCAACACAGCTTTACCATACAGCTTTCAGTCCTACATTTGACCAAGGTTATTATTTCAACAAATATGAACTGGAATAAGTTTTTCAACCAATTCAATTTCCAAACTGCAACACCTAAATAGAGTTCATACTACTGTGTTAAGTCAACCATCACCAACTATGAAACCAACTCCTAAAAATAAGGCAGGTGCTGGGTCAAGCCAGCTTTTTACTACAGGAAATCTTTGTTTGAGGTTCAACAAGCATAATACGGTCCTCTAAAGATCTTTGATGTCTCTTGAAAGATATGTCTAATTTCTGTCTGCCTTCTGCAAGTAGGCAGTATATGGCCCTTAGTTGGTTGAATTATTATGCTTTTTTTTACAGTCTACATATCACAGGCCTGCAGACAGACAGAGAGGGTTTTTTTAAGAATTGCCCTTTTGACTGATTAAGTTTCCCTTTTAATCAAAATTAGGTTTACACCTATTCTCTGTGTAGGACAACTAACACTGTAAAGCAGTCCACTTTTTCAGAAAAAAACAACCCCATTCCTGAAATTGCTGTCTACAAACCTGTATAATCTCATCATGTTTCCATAAACATACGTAATAATATATTTATATAGAAACGGCATTATCCTATCACTTAACTGTTCAGGACTTCACAATCTGGCATGCATTTGACAGTATTAACTGCTTCTATCCATTCACAAATGGTCAAAACAAGCAAGAAGGTTGATGGACCCTCATCTTAACCTGATGATAATTTTATATCATTACTAACTTTACTTTTACGGTCTTGACTCGTCACTAGAAGAACTGCTTGAAGAATCTGTGGACATCACTTCAACATCTTCATTCTCTTTGTTCAGCCCTTTGACCTCTGACATTGCTGCCTGATTGGACGTTGTCATGGAAATGCTGGATGACAGCTCTGGTGGTGGTTGCCATGGCATCGATGCTGCATGGGAAGGAGTGTGGTCTGAAATTATCAAAAAATGTTACATGTAAAATAATCATGGACTGAGATTATAAACATTACTTTGTATTAACTTTGATTTAACTTTGCTAATATAATTTATTATGTGAGAAAGATATCTATATTGTATACTGCATGGGAAGGAGTGTGGTCTGAAATTACAAAGAAGTGATGTGTGTAAAATAACTATGGATTGAGATTAACAACATCACTTAGAATCTACTTAGATTAACTTTGGTAATATAATATATGAGAGAGAGAGAGAGGGGGGAGGAAGAGAGATTTTGTCTATAATGTGTGAGAGAGAGAGGAAGAAATGAAGAAGGATATTAGTTTTTATTATGTGAGAGAGAGACAAAGGGAGAGGGAGAGAGAAAGATTTTGGCTAACATTGTGTGTGAAAGAGAGACAGGGGGTGAAGAATATAATTTTGTGTGAGAGAAAAAGAGAGGCAGAGATTTTGGTCTGTATTATGTGTGTGAGAGAGAGAGAGAGAGATGGAGAAAAGGAGAGAGATTTAGAGCAGGGGGGGTAGTGCAATTTTTCCTAGCAACACTACCTAACTGTCCTGGCTGCCTTGAGAGTTGAGGATCGGCTCCTAACCCAGGCTGGGACTGGAAGTTAGGGTTGTTCAGCCGCCCCAGGAATCCCATCCTCATGTCTAACTCTGTGGGATATGGCCGTCTGGGATCACCTGAGTAATAAAACAAACTTGTCATTACTCATCTTTTCCACTCCTTTGATTTTCAGGATTTATAATTATTTGAGTAGGAAAGAAGTGATAACTATTTGAATTGAATTGGGGTTCATTAACAATGTTTGGTCAACACTCAAAAGATGCCCTCCAGTGACTAATTCTGAGTAAAATTCATTATTAAATCATTTGTAAATATATATCAGCACTGAAAGCAATATCTGATAAACAATGATCAAAGTTGAAACATTGTGAAAAGCAGCTGAGTTCAAAATGGAAAGTCTAATTTCATGAAAAGCATGGTTCAAATTTCATGAAAAGCATGGTACAAATTTCATGAAAAGCATGGTACAAATGATGTGGATAATGAATGTGGCCACTCACTGCATAATGAAGCTCTCAAAAAGGATTCCCACAGTCCAGTATTATTCATTATATTTAGTAACACCTGAGGGTTAGTTGATATCAGATTGTACAGAGTTGGGTCACTGACAAAATAAATAGTATATGATAACAGCATTACCTGGTTGCCAAGTATTAGGAGCTGCTACAGCATGACTAGAGCTAATTTTATGTGCATACTTTATGAGCTCTTCAGACGGAATGGACTTCTGATTAGCCTGCTTGATGGAGGTCAGTTTCTGTTTGGCTTGATATATGGCTGTTGCCTAGAAACAAGAGAAACGCTGAATTATGTCTGATCTCACAGGCCCATATCACTGGCTGCATCAGGGCATTGGCTTCAAGCAAGGATGGCAATGTTTTTAAAAAGATAGTAAAATGGATGGCAGAAATGTGTGGCTCTCACTGCAAAAATTGTAGAATTGCATTGCTTATGTAGAAATTTCAATCTAGTATTCTTTAAAAGTGATATCTTGAATGTTTGCTTGTGTGAAATTTTTAAATGAAGTTAGTGCAGTCACAGTGAAAAAAGTAACGAAAAATGTACTAGTACTCTAGAGGTTAAACTGACATAAGGCTTATTTAATTTAACATTTTTTAAAATTTCTAGTTAAGTTACAATGCAGTGTGGAGGTTCAGCGTATATTTTTTCTTGACACAATAAATATCCTAAATAATTATACAAATGTAATAATGTAATAATTATACAATTAACTCCAAATGCAATCACATGGGACAAGTTGTAAACAGTTTTAAAAACTGAAAATCCTTAAAAAATGTTGCTTGCAATTTCTCATTGCATTAAGGCTCTATTCCCATAGATTTTAGATCGATCTATCTCCGCAGGGAGTCTCATTAGATTACTTTCAGATAATCCAACTTAAATGTCCGTCCCGCCTACTACAAGCTGCAAGGGGGTAATTAACTTTCGTGTCCGCCCGGCTGACAGCTATTTAGCGTGAACCCCCAGGGAGTTAGGTCGATCTAAAGTAGGTCGATCTAATCTATGGAAATGGGGTGTAAGATTCAAAATGAACAAGATGAAAACTAAAAATCCTTATATCAGGCATAATCCTACAAACTTTCACCCCTTGTAAGGGTCTTTTTTTTATTATAACCCGACCCCCACACCACATCAAATAATCTTTTATTTATAATTAAACCCCCAGGAGTTGGGCAAAATGGGATCATATCTTTGGATAATGCAAAGCTGTTACAGAGATTCCCTGTTTCTATGCCCTAAACTCTGCACACAAAAAATAATGAAGCAACTTGTTGTAACTTCAACAGAATACATTTTGCTAAACTAAAAGTTACATGGTACAAGCATGGTCAACTCTAAGCTTCAATCATGACCTCTTTCCTTCTAGTCTTTCCAGTCTCCCTTTCATATTCAAGTTCATGGGTTTTTATGCTTAACTGTATCAATAAAAATGTCAATCAAATAAATCATAAACTGATTGGTTAATTCAAACACCAGGCTGCCTTCTAGTGGTGGGCACTCCCAAGACCTCCATACCATCAAGCTCTCACGGATTACTAGCTTGAAACCAAGAGCATGAATTTGAACTGGTGGGTGTTAAATGTTATCTAAATCTGCTTATACATCTTAGCTTCCCATATGTCAATTTTCTCAAGCAGACTTCAACTGAATGAATTAATACCACACCTTGTATGAAATATTAAAAATATAAAGTACAATTTTTTTTTCAATACTGTGATCCATGCAAATATATACTAGTATACAGTAATGACTGTATCTTTTCAATGGGGGAAAATTGTGAATTTTTCAGATTTATTTTAAAGTCTTAATTTCCTAAAATAAGAGCAACCCTATTCAGTGTTGACAACAAAATTGAGAAGCAGACTACCTTATAGTTCTATATTATGCATTTAAAGCACCACAACTGCTATACAAAAATATAAATTTTATGGGTTTAAAATGATGTATCTGAAAGTTTGATCATTTTTGCCCATTGAAAAGATCCGAGTCATTACCGTACTATACTTAACACACAGAATAATTTCTTACCAAAATAGTTTCTGCTTCCTTCAGATTCTTCTGCAACTGAAGTATATCAGCATCTCTTCTGTCAACTTCTACCTGCAAGGCTTCAATCTTCTTCTGGACTTCACCTTGCTCTGTTGCTAAAAAAATAAATAAAGAACAAAGTGACAGAAAATGTGTTAACTTGATAATCTCTTAAAATTCTCTTGTAAAAAAATCCTTTTTTATTTCTTTTGTGGTATACATATGTCAGTGACATGGCCATCATCAAATACACCAAAATCATTTTCTTTTTCTTTTTCACAAAAAAATGTAGCAAAATTGTTATTTAAAATCCCCCACACAAATAAAGAGCTCACTTTCTAATCCTTCATTTGCTTTTTCTAGGTATAAAAGACAAATAATGACAGAAAAAAGTCCAAAATAATTCTAACATAAATCAAGTTTGAGAAAGTGCAACTATGACATTGTTTTGTCTGTCTATACAAGGTAATTTGACCTCCATCACTCTCTCCTTTCCATCTCCCTGTAAACATTTCTAAATTCTTAGATTAAATGAGTTAACATAAAATTTTTCATTAACAAAATCTTTACCTGAATCCTGCTCATCTAAATTATTTATATAAACTCTGTTCTTCAGACAAGACTGTGTGAGAAAAGAACATTCTAGTTTCCCCACTGTCTGCAATTCCCCATACCTCCAACAAGACTACTGCCTATACTGCCTTCAATGCCAGCAGCCTGAGATCTTATAATCCAAACTATTGAGACCAGAAATGAGGTATGCTATGATGAATACTATTGGCCAAGACAGACTATGTGACCTGTTATCATGAATACTATTGGACAAAACATATCATGTGACCTGCTGTGATAAAACTGTGACCACATGTCCAACTTCACAGAGGAAGAACTCCCATAAACAGCTGTTATAAACAACCCACAGTTCACAAGTTAAGCAGAATCAGAATCAGAATCAGAATCAGAATCAGAAGTTTATTGACTATCGCCCTACATCCGGGCATGATCAAATACAAATACAAGAAGTAATCCGCAGAGTGATTACCATATACAGTTTGATATACATTTTATAATGTCTAGACTAAAGCAGGGAAAGTACATGTACTACTCAATAAAGATCAATATAGGGATAATTAAAAAAAAAA